AGTTGTTTTAATTTCAGAAGATGTGGGAGAAGAATATAGAAATGTGTGAATATATTACATGGAAAGAAAAGTATGGTGGAAGTCAATTGCTGCGACATAAACTTATTTTAAATACATTTACATTGTTTTTTGTGACAAATAACAGCATGGAAATGTCCTTGCATTGATATCATGTATTTGTAGGTGCAGACAGAAGGCCATAGAGATCAGTATATTACAAAATTACATTAAATTAATTACTCATTAGCAGTGGACTCTAAAGTTGTTTTTAACCTGTAGCAATTATTACTTGGCATAGGCATTGTCAGAATAATAAAGAAAACAATTATTTCTAAAAGGATTGTACCAAAGGAAAGTTTAAATTGTATTTGCATTTGAAACATTATACCATACATACTCTAAATTCACTGAATTTAGAGTAAAGGACATATTTTTTATAAGAACGAATAGTTAGTTTCAAGTCTGACAAACGGCACAGAAATGTGTGTGTGTGTGTGTGTGTGCGTCGTGTGTGTGTCTGTGAGAATGTGTGCGCGTGTCTGTGAGAGTGTGTGTGTGTGTGTGTGTGTGTGGGTGTATGTGTGTGTATGTATATATATTATTCCTGCTTTGTGCTCTAAATGTTGCTTCAGACAGACACGCAGACTGTTAGAGCGGATTAGCTTAGATTTTCCCTCTCCACAAATGTTTTAAAAGTCTGCAAACCATTTGAGTGAACTCCCCCTGCCCTGGAGTTAAAGCCCCTATTGTACCATTTTACAGAGCTGCACCCCTCACCCCAGTGCGCCTGCAGGAACAGGGCTCCCCTCGCTTGTACTGGGGCCCACAAAAACAATCCCCAGTCCACTATCAGCAATGAAAAGAATATACACTTATACTAAACTAAATAAGCCTCATCAAGATGACAGTGTAATACAGTTGTATACTCATGTGGTGTACACTAACCCTGTTGTTTAAAAAAAAAAAAGCAGTAATTTTATATAATGCTTTTTGGACACTACACACAGCTTTCTTCATTCCCTCGACAACCATAGCCATAGCTGCCCTGGAATAGAGTGATGAAGGGAGGATATTAATCAGTACCAATGGCCACTCCATCCACCATCATTCACACACACAGATACACCAGGCTCATACTAGGCAATGCTTAGTGTCTTGCTTAAGGACACAACAATAATTTGGCACTTTACACCCACAGCTCCTTCGGCAAGATTATATGCCGTAGACTGTACAACAACTTCATATCAACTTGTTTGTTGGTTTTATCGGAGCCCTAAGTGAAACATTTCATTTATTTTTTATTTTTTTGCTTACTGTATTTTATAATCTAACTTTTGCTGTATTCATCCATGTATCTCCCCTCGTTGTTCGCACATTTCACAGGAATTAATGTATTTAAATTACCTTAGTTTTCCCGTGTGAAATTAACTAGATTTATTCAAAAGGCTCCGGTTACAGGCACTGCTACAGGTCACACGCACACACATTTCACTTTAAAATAGGTAATTGCTAAAAAATGACCAGAAATGCTACAGCAATGAGATAATGGAACTGCTTCTTAACAGCCCTCCTTGTCTACTTCTTTTTCTTTGTACTGTTCAAATACGTTCTTATTCAAAAGTAACCACTTGACAACATCATTAGACCGATTAATGTATTTTTTTTCATGCAATCTGCCTTTGAACTGCAGTTTGTGTGATATTTAAGACGTTAAGTGGAGTGCGGCTGTTCTGTGAGGGGTAGTGTGCGTTAAGCCTGGACTCTGTGGTGAATTAGAGCTGACCCATGGAGACCCTGGGCCCCCGCCGCTCCTACCTTTGGAAGCCCCTGTCATCTGGATCACATCGGAGACTTAAAGGGGGTGGAAGCAGGAGTTTACCCAGGCCACAAGTCCACACTATGACTGTGTGCCTCTCCCCGATAGATAACACCAAACATTATGGTTCAATTACAAGTTACTGCTAACTCAGTAACAAGAGATTTTGTTTTGAGGAGGAAGAAGAAAAGGTGTTGATTTTGTATTGTGTTTATTGTGAAGAAATTACATATCAGTTTCAAGAAATGATAACATAATTCAAACATATACACTCAAGCCATTGTAAACATAAAAAATGACCACATATAAACTACTAGTTATGAAATAGTAGTAATGATACAAAAAAATTGGGGCGTCAACTCAAACCAAATTATGAGGAAGCACTGCCCCCTGGTGTTTAACTATAGCTATAGCAGTCTCGTCAAATTGCTCTGCACGAGGCTGATTTACTGAAGTTTAGTATGTTAATATATATACAGTACCATAGATTCATGTATTATTATTATTACAAACATTTTAGAAGCTGAAGTCCCAGAGCCGATGAGGAGAGTACCAGTAATACGAAACACTTATGTTCAGTTGATTTTTATGGTAAATGTCAGTAAATTTGTTTTTAAAATAAATGTTTGTGTTGAGTCATTAGTGGGTTAGTGAGTTAGTATTTAGGGTTAGAATTTATACTAATGTCTAGAAATAATGAATTGTTAGTATTGCACAAAACACAAACCTGTTTCTTGTTTTGCCACTGCTATGCTCAGTTGGTTCTAAACCGGTTCAACAGATTTTTAAAACCCTCATGATGTGTTTTTGCTGCTACTGGACACCTGAATTTATCCTTCGTGGATCAATAAAGTACCTATCTATCTACTTTGCTATTTAAGATCATCTAAATATGACATAAAATGCATTTGAAACCAGTTGAGAATCAGTATTAGAATTGCATTAAGGGCATGTTGTGGGTTGTATCATTGTAACACAATTTACATTTTGAATACTCTCATTAAAGCTAGGGTACCCTTTTCTGAAAACAACTAGGAAATAAAATTTAATTAATACTTGACTCTAAAACAGTTTGGTTCTATGAAAGTTCTCCATTGTTAATTTGAAATCTAAGAGGACTATCCTCACTCGATCAATCGTCTCTCAGCTTTAAAGTTAGATACCCCAGCTTTAATATGCTGTGAGTATGAGATATTAGCAGGAAAATGTCGGAAACATGTGTTAGTTGTGTGTGGTACCATAACTTTCCGGACTATAATCTCCAGTTTATATAGGGATGTGGCTAATGTGTGTCTTTTTAGTATGTTGTCAGAGCAGAGTTTAAGGAGTCATTATTTTGACTCCCTCAAGTTTTGGTAGTTATGGGACATGTGACCAGTTAAAACAGTAATATTATATTATTACTGAATATAATATACAGTCTATCTGCTTTATTATATTCAAGTGTGGCCTATATGTGGACAACATTTATTTTATTTTCAAATTTGATGTTGCGGCTTATAGTCCAGAAAGTACAGGAGTTTCGTTCAGGAAAGTGGTTCCTACAGTAGTCAACAAGCAGAAGCCAGGCACTATTTAGCAAAGGCTGACCACATACTGCTTCTGTAGAATTGAAACATCATTGTGTTTTATGTGGATGTTCATAGATCTAATGCAACATGTGGTCCTCCTTTATTCTTATTTTCCCTATTTCCCAATCCTGCAACCAGTACAGTCTTTGCTTAATGTTTTTTTTAAGACTTAACATGAGTTGGAGGATGCTGGGAGAGCAGAGAAACTGGTTAGAATGCAGCTTTGAAGTCATCATTAGTAGAGAATTAGTAAATGTGTTAGAAAAATAAGATTCAGTTAGTATCATCCAGGCACGGGCTGATTTGCAAAGGTTGTTACATAGTTTATAGTTGTATTACATATATCACACATTTAATTATAGGCTAAGAATCAAACCCAAATGAACCTAAAAGTGTGAAATAAAAGAAAGAAAAGAAATTCCTTTGCAAATAGCCTCTCTCTTTGTTGGCACCTTAGACTGGATAGAGACAGCTTCAGGTATTTTAGTATTTGTATGGCTTGTTAGGACTCAAGATTATTGTAAACATGCACACACAAACATAGCACAAACCATCATGCACCACTGATCTCAACACAAGCAAGTGAACTCTGGGGTGGGGATGAACCGGTACAAAACAGTCCCAAGCCTGGATTGAGTGTCCATGTGCAAACTAGTTCAAATGGAAACTCACGTTCACGAATCATTTTCAAATCAGGGAAGATGCTTTGATCAGGTAACAGTGAAAGAATATTCTTAGGTTATACACTGAGAATATTTCCTTAGTACTGTATGTAAAGGTTTATCATTTTACCCATGTAAGGGAGTAACAGAATATGTATACTATGATTACATATTCAGGTGATATTTTTTATTTTTGACTAACGGTATTCAGAATTTAGGTTTTCTTTTGGTGGTATTCTCATCAGTTATCTTTCAAAAATGAAGGAATATTTGATTGCAAATCTGTTCGATACAAATCCAACCATCAATAACAAAAGAATGCATAGCAAATACATCACAAAGTCAATCTAAACATAAATTTGTTTTTAAAGGTCGGTATCCAGTATTCAACTAAATACAGTACATTTTCCCCGACACTGAATGTTACTTCCTGGTTGGCCATTGGCATTTACAACATCGACCCATCCAATAAATGATAACTTTAACATTTTAGATTTATACATTTATCAGATTTTGTGTGTTGGTGGAATAAGTGGAGGAAATAGTCTGACCTCCTTTTGTCATTAAACAGACACTGACCACCACAAATATTTACTCGAGCTTCTATCACCACCAAACCATAAAGATGGTTAAGTTCAGAAACTATTTTTGTGACACTGCAAACTGTGATGAAAAAAATATCTATTATAACTAATCATATCCCATAGTGACCACTGTCCGAAAATGTGTTGGAGAGAAGTATAGGCCTGGTAACCTGACTGTGGTTTTGCAATGGCACTGTCAGTATTGCTGGTTTTGAATAGTTTATATTTGCTGTGGGAAAGTCAGCCACTAATGAGAGAAAAATGATGGATACATGTTCCAGTAGAGCTGAGCAGTTGATGCAGCTACACTAACATAGCACACATCTGTAAAGAAATACTTGCTTTAAATTATTCAAAAGAACACTTGTTATAAACAGACTATGCAAGGTCTGCTCACTAAACAACTGAACTCATGTGTTTTTTCAGTAAAAGTGGGTTTTTTCAGGTCTTCGTCAGAATTTGTAGCAACAACCTGTAACAACAATATTATAGTATAGATTAGAAAAACAGCAGTGTTCAATGAGCTTCAGCTGTGCTTCCCAAAGTGAGGAAAAACGCATGTAATAAACTAGAATTATTTATATGCATGTATTTTGATATTTATAATATTTATAAATTTTGCTCTTAAAATTATGATAGAAATGTGATTATTTTTAAAGAATACAGTCGTGAAAATACTTAATTATAATGTATAATATATTTCTGTCACTATTATATTATATCATGTGCACTGTCACTGTAGCCCAAACAGGAACCAGAGGTCAAATCCTCCAGCTATGGTAGTCCTGACCAAGCTGAGCATCGACATATGAAGATTGTAATTAGAAGAACAAGCTGAAATGATTGTTGTTCTTAAAAAGGCCCTACATCTTGGAAATGGAATAGGCTTTATTTTTGGGTTTTTTTGGTTTATTTTTTTGCTACTCTTGGCGACTACGTTCTAACAATACTATATCTTTAATATTATGTTTATTCATGATGTAAAGTAATGTGATACTGTGTAACAATCACACTTCAAAAATGTTATTGTGACACATTTAAGGTCAGCAGAGAAATTCACCCTGGTTGTTTATAAGCTGTTGTGTAGGAGTGTGTAAAGTGAATACAAATATATTATAAATCACCAGAGAGAGAGAATCTGAAAGCAGCAGCAGCAGGAGCGGCAGCAGGAACAGCAGGAACAGCAGGAACAGCAGGATCAGGAGCGGCATGGCGGAGGTGGCGAGGTTGAGGGTGTTGAGACCATGAGGACGATGAGATCCACTGTGAAACTGGAGAAGAAACAGAACAGCAATAGCAGGATAGGATTATGCAAGCAACAAATTTGCTAACAACATTATAACCTTATTTTATATTTTGGGATCACAAATTAATACATGGGTACATAATTTCAGACCGGTCACATAACCTGTTTTGTTGGTCTTGGAAGTATTCCTGGCACCCTTCTTTCCAGAGTAATTGACAACAACCTACCAAATAAAACATAAGATACATTTTATTTATATTATAGTATATAATATAGTAACTAATATAGTGTCATGCCATGGTACAAATTTCCCAGAGGACTTAATTCCATTAATCTTTCAGATGTAGCCTGCCTACCTGTCCTCTTGCACATCAGATGCAACGTCGTCATGTCGAAAATCAGGAGTTTTCCACAAATCCAAGCTGAGAGGTTTAAAATCCACATGCGTGCGGCTGCCTGGGACCGTGATGGGTACAGGAGAGGTGTGTTTGAACACCGTCTTTATCGCCATTGCCCTGGGCTGCAGATGTGGAACAGCTCGGAACAGCTCACAACAGCTGGGGTCTGTCCAAACTACAGCAGGACACTGCCCTTTACAGAGAATGGGAGCAGCAGAAAGAGGAGCAGAGTGACAAAGCGTTCGTCCTCTGACTACCGCTGCTGCCACTGTATACGCTCTTTAGTGCGTGCGCCGTCCACCATCTGTGTTTCCAAGGCAACCCTCCGCCTGCGGCCAGAGGCTCCTATTTAATCTACTGGCCTTTTACAACATCAATATTTATAGGTAGAAAGATGCAATGTTGGACAAGCTTCTCTAAAATATAAAGTACATAGTACAGAGATAAAGATAAGCATGTGTTTTACAATATTGCTGTTTTTAAAATGTAACTTCACACTTGAGTTTCTTTGAACCCATCTAAACATATTACATTGATGGAGTGAAGAGGTGTGTGTGATATTCATAAACACTGTAAAAACCCATCTAACCGCCATGGATTAAAACAAACAAATGTTAATTAGACGATTCAAGTCATTTCTACTGTTAAATAGTTCTATACACTTTAAAAAGCAATAACAAAATAAAGATTAAACAGCCGATATTAGACAATCCAAATACTTTGTTTTTGGAGGGGATTGGATTAATATCATAGACTTTAAATAATATACACTTTTTCCTTTGTCCAATTTCTTTTTTAAACCAAACCAAAGGGACATTTAGAACATGGGAAAATATGTGATTAATCGAAGTTTACATTAATATAATATATTCTAATCGTTTGACAGCACGAGTTTTAAAGGCGAATGGCGAGCAAGAAGGGATATCCAATGACATTTCCCAAACAGCAGGGGGCGGTCATAGTTAAGATATGTCTTCCTCTGTTCTATGCAAACTGAAGGAAATGTTTGAACGCTTCAGTCGTTTTCATGCGTAATGCTTAATATATACAGTCTATGGTAATGCATCAATCCTCTGTAGGTCTTTCTGGACTGTGTCAAATCACGGAGCATCTCTTCATCAGTAACGCGGCTGCTGCCAACGATAGCTCTGAGGTGACCAAGTGGAACATCATGTGTATCATCACCGTTTCAGAGACAAAACTCAGGACGACACCGCCTGCGGGAGTGGATCATGTCCACGTCCATATGGCGGACTGTCCCACGGCTCCTCTGAGCGCATGGTTCGATACGGTGGCCGATAAGATCCAGTGTCACGTAAAGCACAATGAGCGCACGCTGGTACATTGTAATGCGGGGGTGAGTCGCTCCGCTGCTTTGTGCCTGGTGTATTTGATGAAATATCACGGGGTCAGTCTGCGAGAGGCGCACGCATGGATAAAGAAATGTCGACCTATGGCGAGACCCAACTCTGGGTTTTGGAGCCAGTTAATCCACTACGAGAGCGAACTGCGTGGGATTGCGTCAGTCCAAATGGTGTCTTCATCCATGGGAGACATACCAGACATTTATGCAGAGGAAACTAGAAACATGACACCTTTGTGAAAAATTAAAACCGCAAGCAACCAAACGGTCTTTGTATCTGAAATTAACTTTACAGGTTTGTCTGATGCCTTCGCTGCAGCTCCCACTATCCAGACTTTAATGTTTATTTGACCGTTTACCTGTCCCATGGCAGTTTACCCTTGTGCTACCCTCCGATCAAAATGACCCATCTAGAAGAATACCTTAAATTAGGATCTAAAATAGTCTAAATGACACATGGCTGGTGAAGTAAGGCAAAAACATCAACCTTAATCTAGAAAGAAAAATACTTAGGGTCTTTATTCATCACTGTGGTGGGTCAAGTGTTCAAAAAGTGAGTATTATGCTATTGTACATAATTACAATTAGTATGGTCACAATACTAAAAATATAAACTGATTATTTCTGCTTTGACTGCTGCACCTGCAACCCAGCAACAGATCAAGCAGAAGAAAGTGGATGGATACTTCAAATTGAGGACTGTATCTAGTTAGTATTGATTTTTATATTATGTTCATACTTTTGGCAACTTCCATCAAGATAAGCACATTTCTCGGAGTCATGATTTATCAAAGAGCTTTAATGTTGAGAATCTAGAAGCCAACCTTAAACCCAACGTCAGTTACATCAATCCACATGTTAAACTTACCATGAGAATCTTTAGAGGAACCACAAGTAATATTAGTATTTGAGTTACACCTTTTTGTTGTGTCCATATATGAAACACATTTTTGTGAAAACTATTGTAACGTTCACTTATTTCTAATCAATTAAACATGGTACAGATAATCCAATTAAAAATCTAAATTAACTTCATACGAGTATCTCATTTGAGTTCTGGTTTTCAATGGGGAACTCCGGATCCCTCCGCAGCAGCATAAATGTACGCACATAAAGGCAATGTTAGTTATATTAGTAATACTACAAATTCTTACAGGTGGTCCCTCAAACAGATGATTCAAACGTTCTCAAAAAACATGAGAAAACAAACATCTACATTTTGAAGACACAATGGAATATTTTAGTTCCTTCAAGAAAAAACATTCTTTGGGCAGCATGAATCAAATACCAAAAATTTAATATTGTTGAAGGTTAACTCATTAATACTATAGACATTTCATCACAGATATGCTACAAATCCAATTAATCATGCAATATTTAAAATGGCTTTTTTTAAATAACAGTGTCAATCACCCAGCCCTGAGGTCAACATAAATGCAGGGCTCCAAATAAAAAAATCCTGAGTCTGGACCTTTTTTAGGTCAGTATCGAAGATGAGCAAAAGATGAATAAACACTAGTGCAAAATATATGCTTTCTTCAACTTAACTGCATTTCACTTACATCCCATTAAGGCAAAAGTATAATCTGCATAGTCATCCAATAACCATATAAAATTATACATTGGTTTATCACCAGGTAAACACAAACCGAAATCCACAGTGCATTGAGCTTCTCGTCGAGGGTACGGGTCCATCATTGTCACGGCTAGGAAAAAATGATGGATTTCAGTACATTTCTAAAATAAGATATTCAAAAGTAACATAAATGTTACATAATTGACTTACTTGCTGTTCCAGTCTTTGGTACTCTGCAGATGGGTGTCGCCGCGTGGATCTTGTTCTTTTCCCTTCCAAAACGAAGGCAATAATCTAAAAAAACATGATTTATTATTAAGTGATGAATAATGGGTAACTTGGCAAAATAGAGCTCCAGTACACACGCTGAATCCAAACTGAAAGTGTAGGTCCTAAATTGATTTTTCTTCAGTACATTGTGTCATTTGCATAAAGCCATGTGACTTTCCTCCACATTATTAGTGACTACCCTTTTTAATTCATGTGTAATCACAAGTCACCAAACTTCTAAACACAACTTTGCAAAGGGGTCATTAGATAGAAGATAGTATAACTAGAAATTACCTTGCGTTTGTTGTGGTAGGCGACGTACAGCAAAGCCACAAGCACTGCAGTGGAAACGAGGTAGACGAAGAAGTGGCTGCTTTCTGCTGCCTGGGGACCATCCACTGTGTGGGCGCCTCCCTTAGAAGACGGCAAGTCGTCAGCGCTCTCCTCAGTGTAGTCAGATCCGTCTTTAGATTCCTTTACAGCTCCCTCTTCAGACTCTTTTACAACTTTGTCTGCAGCCTCCTTTGCAGCCTTGTCTGCAGCCTCCTTTGCAGCCTTGTCTGCAGCCTCCTTTGCAGCCTTGTCTGCAGCCTCCTTTGCAGCCTCCTCTGCAGCCTTGTCTGCAGCCTCCTTTGCAGCCTTGTCTGCAGCCTCCTTTGCAGCCTTGTCTGCAGCCTCCTTTGCAGCCTTGTCTGCAGCCTCCTTTGCAGCCTTGTCTGCAGCCTCCTTTGCAGCCTTGTCTGCAGCCTCCTTTGCAGCCTTGTCTGCAGACTCCTCTGCAGCCTTGCCTGCAGTTAGTGAATTTTCGTTATTGGTTTTCGGCTTAACCATTGAGGCTGCAGACAGAATCTTCCCACCTGCATCTGTTGAAGGGTTTTGAACAGCAGTGCTTGCTGACACTGTTGATTTCTTCCCTTGTAGATGTTCTTGTGTTTGGACCGAGCCTTGTTGGTTAATTGAAATAGACTGTACCTGCTGTACACTGGTGCTAAATCCAGACCTGCTCTCTGCAATGACAAAAGGAAACAAAATAATAAATCATCTTAATTTAGTTTACTATAAGCAATCATATCCTTAAACAATAAATACAACCTACCTAACCATACAATTATGTGTTTTTTATGTTTGGATTTGTTTTCATTTATTTTACAGGTACAATGTAGTGTATAAATATTTCTGTAAAAGTACAAAAAAATAACCATACGCATGTTGCCGTGTTAGATTATTATAGAGCTGCTTCCTCAGATAATTTTTCATTGCATTATTTGGCCATTTTAAGATGAGATAAGATAAACCTTTATTCGTCTCACAGTGGAGAAATTTCCTGATGAGCACAGTCACAAAGATCCAGTCCTGCATCTTAGTTTTCCTCAGTGGGATGACCTCCAGCTACCCCTGGTGTTAGCAACATATTTACTGTTCAAGGGGAGAAACAGTTCTTATTTCTGCAGGACAGCACAGTGTTGATATTGCTGTGGTTACTTATAAGTACTTTTAAGGTTTTTATAAAGAGACTCAATACATTTGGTTGTGAAACAATATTTCAGGTGTGTTGGTATCATGGCATGCATACGGTAATAGGTAGGTAGATAGGTAATAGGTTTGCAGCCGAGGATAAAGCGGCTGTGACAAATAGAGGAGTTCAAGTACCTCTGGTCTTGGTCACGAGTGAAAGAAGGATGGGGCGTGATATTGACAAACTGCAACGTGGACTGTTGTGGTAAAGAGGGAAAGTTGAAAGGCAAAGCTCTCAATTCACCAATCAATCTAACAAGCTCCCTTTAGTAAGCTATGTCAGTCAAATACAATACAATTTTAGGATTAGGGTGCATCAGTATTATATTTCTTATTTTCTTTTGTGTAGCTAATAAGTTACAAACTGTAACTAGTTTCTGACTACTTTAGTAACTGAATTACTAAAAGGAATAGGGATATTATAATAGATCCATGGGACTAACAGTGATAACATTTGGATCAAGTCATTTACACTGTTAATGTTTGAGTAAGGCTGCCATACCTTTGACCAAGCAGCAGGAAACACACAGGGCCAACAGGAGAGCCGTCCTCATGGTGTAAACAGGGAGATGAATGGGAGAAAGTAACGTGCTGTGTCTTCAGAGGAGCCGTAAGTGTTCACGCTTCAGTCAAACAGAAAGAAGAGTACACAACCATGATGTGGAGTGTTGTCAAAGTCACTTCCGCATCCTTTATTACTCTGCTACAGAACCAGGCACGTTCTGGCTCATTACTGCCCCTCACTGGTCAAACTGAGAACAACAATACACATACGACTTTTGTTGTTAGTAGTTTGGATTTGAGACTCGATCATAATTAGATCCAAGTTTTCGTCTTTGACTTGGATTATAAAAATATAGGTCACATTGTTTGACAAAAGGGGAAAATGATCCCCACAAATATCAAAAGAGCTATTACCATAGATGGACATAAGGTGGCAGCAAAGATGCATTTATCATAATAGCCTTACCCTTTATCGTTAGCTTTTTTGTTGTAGTTCTTGGTACTTTTGTAGTTCTTGTTCCTATGCCATGGTTAACCCAATGAATAATTTACGGTTGGCCTACATGCTATGACATCTTCAACATGTGGGTCCCTCTCTGCACACCCATTTGCAATCAAATCTTTAAGGTCAAATGAGGATGAATTATACATTACGGGGTTGAGGGGGGTCCCACCTATCCCAACAAAGACACCAGCTGAGTTTAAGTCAATCTCTGCCCCTTCTCACAGAAATGAGCATTCAATACATTTTAATATCACTGTGTGAGTCTTGTCAGGAGGACAGAGGCTTGTTGATGAACTGCTGTTTGTGTTTCTCCGGATTGTGCACACAGAGGAATAATCACAGCGTTAACGATACTTTCAGGATCAAAATGTTTATGAATTAGAAGTCCTAATTATATTGCGTTTGTGTAGGTATAACAAACACTTTTTATAATAGTACATAGGTCTATTAGGGCATACCTGCTTATCACCGCATATCCCTAAAGTTAAGCAAATCAGGGCCTGGTTAAAACTAGGATGGGAGGCTGCTTCCAATGATAAAGCTCAGGCCAGCTGTGGCTACAGTTGAATCTATAGAGTGGATGGGTAATCCAATTGAATTTCCTAATTAAGCTTCCACAAAATTAATAGCATGAAAAACAAGACTCACTTTCCTCCTTGGCGGTTGGAAATCTTTAAAAAGAAGGAAAAAAGGATATCAAAGGCACAAAAACAGTGTTATCCTTACTTGATACTTAATTTCAATACTAGGAAAAAAATAATACTACTTTTTGCGGGGCCATAAGACTTTATACAAGTTCTTCTGATATGGTTTACCATTTAGCAAGAAATTCTCAAGAAATGTCAATTTCTCTTTGTCTTCTTTATGTAATTGATTGTAATGTCAATACTGTTTTGTTTTGATGTGCTAAATCCCATGTGGATGTTTATGTGCAAGGCCCCTGTTTCTTTTGCTAAAGTTGTCTGTTCTATGAATGTCTATGTAATTGTGACATTGTCCTGCATTTGTCTATGTATGTGATGATTCTCTTTTACCAAATTTCTCCATCTGGAGACTAAGGCTTGTCCTTTCTTATCTTTTCTACTTCCGGGTGGATCATCAAGACTATTGGTCCTCCCATTTGTGAGTTAGTCTAGTGATAAGTGCTCTCAAATAAGACCAGAGACTTTTGTCCAAAAAGTGAAGAGGGCGTTTCTTTCCTAAAATTTGGGAAAAACCTCCTATATACCTTTTAATATCTGGTTTCGATACTAGCTTTTATACTTGATAATTGATTGATTTCTTCTTCAAAAAATGCTATGTGTTTCTACGAGGCATTTCTAGAAAGTGATTCTATTACCTGTAATAACTAGCACATTTTAAGTCTGTGTCGGTTGAGTTTTATACTTGTCTATTGGGAAGGTGAACATTGCTCAGTATGTATGGCCTTGAGGAGACAGATTTGCTGGCTGTTTTGACAACTCATTACCTGTAATTTCCCTGACGGACCGGTGAAGTGGCTGTGAGTGGGCAGGTAACTGTGGTTTGTGTCTGACTCTGAAATGATGTAAGGCAGAACACCTAGAAAAAATGACTTATTATAGCTAATGATATCTTAAATTCACAGTTGAGGAGAGTGACATTTCTGCTTCCTAGCTGAAGGGCAAAAATGTAAATGTATTCTCATATTTATAACTATTGCCTGAAAAAGAAAAAAAAACAAGTTATTTGTTTGCTTTATTAGGCATCACAAGCTGCGTGGAAAACAAATGAAACATTCTTATGTCCATACACATTATTAGTCACTTTTATACTGGGAGCAATAGAAAACATTCAAAGTATAGCCTCTTCAGTTGCAGGGCGCGTGGAGATGTCTGCACCCCTGCTTCTACAGTTTGTTTGTAATTGCTCCTTCACATGCAGCACCTCCTCTCCTCCGATGCCACCAAAAAACTGTAACCTATCTTGTGTATTTTCCGCTAATTGAAATGCCTAATGAGGTCCCGTGGGCTCCATCCCATTACCTCGCAGTTAATTAAATTCTGAGCCATGTGCCAAATGGTAAATCAAAACGCACTAAAAGCAAATGCTGAACACCGAAGTTGAGCCGTGACGGGGCTGACCTGCTTTTTGTCATTGTAATGAGACTTGCTTCACAATGAAGTGGCAGATGTCTATTATAGTTTTATTTGTATTTATTTTGAGCGTACAGATTTGCGGCCTTGGTTGGTACAAGCTCATATTTTCCAGTGTGGTTGGCCTGACTCCTTTTTTATTAAGCCTTAAATTCCTGTCTCCCATCAGCAAGGTTTTATGAAGATGTGGAATGACTGAGTTAAACAGCAGGAACATAACATAAATGGAGCGTGGAGTAAAAATCCATATACAACTAAACAACAAATGACATTAAGTACAGACACATAAGTAAATGAAGTATAGACAAATAAGCCATTTTAAGAAACAAATTCAAATGTTTATTTAACATTTCAAAGAAGGGGACACACTTGAATTAAAAAGAGGGCAGCAATTATTGGCCTATGACTTCGACTTAATACTAACATTAATTTGTTTTGGCAAAAAAAAGAAAACATGTGTTCTTTTTTCCTTTTTTTATAAAGAAGTGTTATGTACATTGGATATTTTATTCAAGAGGTTCATTGGATAAATGCATCAAAAAAGAAACCAGTTCTGCAGTAAAACTTTACAAAAAATACATTTGTTTCATTGAGAGATGTAGAAAAGGAGACAGTCAAATATTGACCAATAATATTCCTTCCTTTTCTATTATTAAAAACAGTTGTTCTAAAACTATTCAAAAGAAAAGCAATATACAGCACACAACAAAAACTGATAAAATATAGGGCAATAAATGCTTGAATCAAGTCGTTTTTATATTAAAGCATGATTGGCCAGGGGGACAAGCAACAATGTCTTATTTAAAGAGCAGGAGAGTTTCTTCTCTCATTCTAAGTGACAATGTGCTCGACTTTTTTTAACGCATAGCCCACTGGCAAATCATTTTTTAATACAAGCAAAATAGACTGAAATCAATGTAGACTAAGATCCAAATAAAGGATCTCTTCATCTTAATTCAAGCCATTATTGACTTATGTTTTGTCATTTTTGCAGTGTAAATGTGACAAGCTCACTCAGAGTGCTTCGTGACCAGCGAAAGGGGCTGCGACTGGAACAGGGCGTGATGGGAGTGCAGGGCGGCCTGGTGGAAGGGGGAGGGCGGGGAGAGCATGGAGTGGGGCAGAGAGGTGAAGGGGATGGGCCGGCTGAGGACGGGGCTGCTGCCTGAAGTACCGGTGGAATGGGCGACTTGGGCTGAGGTCGAGCCGGACGCCTTCCCCGGAAGAGAGAAGTGGTGGTGCATGCGGCCCTCCGGTTTGGTGGTGAGAGACAGAGGCTGGGCCTGCTCCGAGTGAGTGGCTGCAGGAGCGGCGGGGGAGGCCAGGGCGGCCGAGGGAGTGGCGGGAGAGTCCAACATGCTGCCGTGGGACGAAGCCGGGCTGTCGCACATCTTCTCCGACGGCAGGTACTGAACGCACTGCTTCTTGTTCCTTATAGAGAAGTCTGGAAGACACACAAGCACAACAAGAGGCTGAATTATACATGCGATCAAATCTGGTCCATGTCCCTCAATGAAGACGAGAGTGAGAAGATGGTATGGGAGTGATGAGGTCTTCAAGCATGACAGAACTTGAAACAGACTGAAACCACTACAGAATTCAACCAAAGCAATGCACCTGGATGCTAGACGGATGATATGTTTAATGCATGAATACACTCGGGAATCAATGGGCCACAAATGAGGCGGTCACATTGCAGGCAAATGTTATTGTTTTTCTACATATCGCCGTACAGCAGACATACCTGCCACTACACGCACTGAACTTCATAGGCTGGTTATTTAGCAAAGTGGGAAGACATGTTAAGGGTGTTAGTAAAGGAGATTGAGCAAGGGAGAATTCATATTATTGAAGTCAATAATTCCACAATCATCTTACCTTCTGGTTTTGAATCAGGCTTGTTGTCTCTCTTCCTTTTTTTCCTCTTTCCCTGTGAGAAAAAAATATTGTTCTTAACAAAATACAGCCTTAAAAACATATTTGGTCTCTTTTTCCTCATTTTATCTTGCTATAAACAATTAAATAAAAAGCGATGATTCATCAACAACAATGTACCGGTCGATAATCTCCTCCTTTACCCTCTATTTGTGATTTAATTCAAGCAATAACAAAAAATCAGGATTGGAAAACTGGAACCCATATGTAATAAAACAATAATTTGCACACATTGTGTCCCATATTGTAAAAACAAACTAAAACTTAGCTGCAGATGCAAACCATCCAGTGTTGTCTTTGTGTTTCTGAGACAACACTGGATAGCTTGGTTTCTATGATTCCGTTAAAATATTTATGTTTATCAAATAAATATATATTTGGTGCAGCTTGTTTTAAGAATTTAGCAACTATTTTTTTCCATATTAGAATTAATGGTGGAAAAAATACGATTTCCCCCATAAGAAATGATTGCCCACCCCTAGTCAGATTTAATGAACCAAAGTAAAGTACAAAGGGCGTGTTCTGCCGGCAAAACCCGTTTTGAGAGAAGGGAAAACAATTCAAATGTTTTTAAATGTACTCTAACATGACCTGTCCCAAAGCTGCTGTGAACGTACATAGTTATCCCGTGCGGACCATCCCGGGTAAAGCTGAGAGTGGAGCTGTCTTTCTTTCCTGGCCAGCTCGTAGTATTTGGCTTGCTCCTCTCTGGACAGGGAATGCCACTGTGGATGAAAGCAGAAGATGCATTACTGTTCATGCACACACACACACACACACACACACACACACACACACACACACACACACACAGGTGAGGTGAGGTGCAGATGTGTTTTCTATTTACCCGCCGTCCGAGGATCTGGTTGATGGCAGCGCTCTCTTTCAGGGTGCACTCTGCCACTACTTTGGCTCTCATCTCCTTCATATACAGCATGAAAGCATTCAGGGGTTTTTTGATATGAGGTTTCTTGTCCTCTTCTTTTTTAGGAGGCACAGGTGATTTTCTGCTAATTCAAAAGATTAATAATATGTTACCACACCAGCACATTAACGATGGAAAACAACAGGAGCATTGTTTGACTGTTGTTTTGTATTGAACGTACGCATGCATGGAAGGACTCATGTCGCTGCTTGGTTCTTGTTTGATTGCGGGAGAGACGATTGCAGGGTGGGGTATTCCTGTCTGGTGCAGGCTGTGAGGAGGTGGGGTCACCATGTGAGGGGAGAAACGGCTGGACACCAAACTGAGGAGAAAAACAATTCTATTTAGTTTGTATGCAGTGGACCAATGGACAATAAGTTACATGCTTGCAAAATTCACCAAAAATGTAGTATGTGTTGTTACTATAGTGACAGCTGCACACCGAAGTTCACGTTCTTAAAACATGTATTTGCCCGATAGGCTCGGCTTTATACAATAGATATGAGATTGACTCACATTCATGTGTAGGCGGCCAGAAAAGTGTGCTTCAAAGTACAGGTTTCATTAAAAAATTTAAACAATATTGTTAATTGTTTATTGTAACAGTGCATCATTAAGTATAATTGTCTTATGTCTGAGAAATTTACTTTGTGTTGAAAATATGAATTATATTCTGTGAAAGTGAAAGTCGATATTTGAATGTTGATTATTATGGCTTCAACTTGCAGCAGACTGTGTCTATTATTGATCAGAAAGAACCTTGTGAATATTTTATATTATACCAGCACCGGAAGGCTTAATACAAATCTGTACAGTTCTGACAGGGGTCAGAGTTTAGACTGAAGTGAAGAAGAAGTTTTGAATGGTCCTAATCAATTCTCAAGTCTTTCATCTTTATGCACTGTGCTCATGAAATGCTGAGATTCAAGTTGGAACAAGATGGCTTAAATGTGTTTTGCTTAGGCCATAGTTCTTACTTTGTTTCATATCTCAAGATGGCGTGACTAGAAAAATACCTTCTTAAAGAAATATGCTAAGTTTTTTTCTCCATAAAATGTGTTGCACAAACGTCTCAACAAAGCAAACAATAGGCCTCTAAAACTGCACACCAGCTATTTGTTTAACCCATTGTTGAAGAATCAGGGTGAAGAAAAGAAGGAGAAATGTGATTACAGCTTGTCATAGAAGCAGCAGATATTAAATGACTCCCTTTGGGAAGATGGGGGTGTTGTTGAACATGATCCCCTCACCTGGACATAGAGGCATTCATGGCGAGTGCTGGATACGGGTGACGAAACCCTCCCGGAGGGATGGAGTACATGTGCTGGCCCTGCCTGGGACACAAGAGCAGACACTCAGGGCTGAGCCATAGGAATAAACACTCATCAAGTTAACAGGCAGGTTACCAGCGCAGCTACATACACAGGACACAGCTTCAACCCAAACATGTTTAGTTTGAACATGTAAGAAATCTACATGATTTATTTAGTCAGGTAAAAGGTAAAGGACTAAACATAATCTCCAGTCTATTATGTGAATTCGTATATCATTGCCAACTTAATAATTATAAAAGCATGCACATAAAATGTTAAAAGCAAATGTTTTACAGTGAGAAACCAATGCCAGAAAGGGATCGGGTTGTTAAGTGGATACTTACTGTGGCATGAGCCATCCTAGCGGGTGTGCTATAGAGCCCACAGCTCCAGGCGACAAAGGGTAATATGGGGAGAGCTCTGATGGGTGTGGGGTCCGGGGGATACCTTCAAGACACAAAGAAGTGCTTTAAGAAAAAGAGAGATAGGCCTGTTAAAGTGTGCATAAAACTGTGTGGAACAGATACTATTCATGGTTTTTATGGCTGTTTTGCTTAAGAAGTTAATTAGCCCTGCTTTAATAACCTACATCCTACAATTTAAGTTCTTCTATGTCGCAGGCGGCTGTGGTCAGTTAAAAGTGCTGCATAGCTGCAGAGTAACCGGTTTTCACTGTGGAAAATAGAAACCTCTAAAACCAAACAGGGTCCACTCAGCCATACATTCGGTATATTTATAGTGGTTGGACTTTAAATTATGGTCGAACACGTTTCCGCTGGCCTCATACCTGACTCATATGAGATGTGTGAGATCAGGTTAGAGTCATACCAATAATATGCATTCATTCTTTTATAGTGATAGTATTGATAAAGTTTGCTTAAAAGCCTCACCTGTTTTGGGGTCTAGTATTTCTGGCGAGAGGTGTGAAGGCGGCGTCCCTGGGGAGAAGTGTTCGTTACTGTAGGTGATGAGTGGCGTCAGTGGATGAACGTGGTGGGCATGCTGGACCACTGGGACTTTATTAGACTGCAAAAACAACACAAGAAACAGCAGATTTATCACTATTGTTCCTCCGTATGCAGAAGAACTAACAAATATCTTGACGTGGTTCAATGTTAGCTATTGTTCCAGAGATCAGCATTTAGTAAACAGGAGTCGTCATGAGTGAATGGCCTGCACGGTAAACATCGTGTGACTAGCCCTGTGATGCAATCTGGAAGCGCACCAAGGAACACTAAAAAGCCTTGCAGACACATGCCAAGAGCATTACGGCCATTTAGTGGCGGAGAGGACTGTGTGTTCAGAGCAGACCAGAAAAACAGCAGTGCCACCAAGTCCACAAAGTCACATCTGACTCGTATTCCCAAGGGAACATCTTTGTCCGCTACCTTTTAACATAATCAATGTTCCAATCCAACACAAGTCAACAAATACATGTACAAGACACAATAAACAACTACAAATACTGCAAAAATATGAGGTAACAATTGCTTGAATCGAGGGATTTTTAGCTTAATTTGAGGACAAGATTTACCAATGGGTCAAGAACTTTAGACTTATTTCAAGAACTGTTGGTTTATTTTCTCATTCCAAGGGAGACAATTCTTGTATCTTCTAAAAACAAGATTATTTGCTTGTCCAATTGGCAAATCTGGTAATAAGGCAGTCAAAGCTCAAATTAAGATACATTTTGCCATTTTTTTTAATTTATCACAGCCTAAGCAAGAATTCCTAACAATATAGGCGCATCATTTGCTGTCATGAATCACATTTTATTACAACCCCTAAAATGGACCCCAACCAACGGATTATACATATTATTATTGTATAAAACCTTTGAGATTAGTGAATGGAATCTAAATGTCTCTGCGACAGATGGTCACAGGTCACCTTACATAAAAAGTGAATAAGCCAAACTTTTTCTGTACTTCAACGTCTTGTTGTACTTACAAGTTTTGAATTGCAATATGTTTACAAAGGGTGGAGCCCTGAAACTTTAGAAGAGTTAGAGGACTACTCAAATCAATAACAGTAATAAATACAAGAAAAAGTGTGCATGTGGGAAGCCAGGTTGATGTATAGAACTGCACTTTGGCGACAAAGCGGTTCATTTCAGCGAGTGTAAAGAACAACAAGATCTGAAATGTAAGCAGGGGCCAGTCCATTAAAGTGATTGTCTGCAGTTTGTCAGAAAGAGAGAGAGAGAGGTACTTGATTTGAAAAAAACGACGCAAGCTCCCTCCCCCTTCCTTTCTGATTGGTCTACACCTACGTTTTCGTAACACATTTAAATGTTAATCGGAAAATACATTACACATATACATTATCAATACACATGCACAGAGGTTTTCAGAATTATTTTTTAACGTTTTCATGACAAAAATAATGTTTTCATGCACAAAAAAAGCGATCGCTGCAAACCCGGAAGAAGCTATTAACATTAATTGCACATTATAGGACACATCTGCAGAGGATCTGATTATGGATATAGGTTCATTATATAAAGGGGTAACTCAGCGCGGATGTTCAGAATTATTTGTTCAGTTTTCATGTAGTTCCAGAGCCTGATGCAGGCTTGATTTGGAGGCTCCGCAAAAACAAACAACTGAGCATGCGCAGCTGCGAGCCTGAGAGCCGATGATTGACAGCCCTTGGCATCACTTCGTTGGTTAACGTGGACGGCATCGTGGATTCTGAGCTATAGCTAAGAGAAGGGAAGGCGGGACTTACCCGTAATATTAGAATTCATAAAATGACTTATTTTATATCAACATTTAAGGCCAGGAGGTCAATTTAATACAATTCTTAAAATTTGTAATTCATTTAGAGTTCCAGACTATCACTTTAAGTTCTTGAAAAAAAAAATAACAGCAATATAACATCAACTCTAAAATGAACAGGGAGCCAGTGCAGTGAGGTTAATATTGTGTAGAACTAAAAGTAATTGTAAATGTGTGGAGCTGCTCATGTGTACAGTGCATTACAGTAGTCAAGCAGTGTGGAGATAAAAGCATGAATCACCAGCTCCAGATCATGAAAAGATAAAACTGGTCTAAGTTTAGATACAAGCAGAAGATGATAAAAACACTGTATTTATCCACTTATCAAACCTAAAGCCAATGATGACGCAAGGGTTGGAGGATAAAAGCTTGACGTACAAGAGAGCCCGTGTAAAAATGAGAATTCAAAAATAAAGCTTATGGTTTCAAAGGATAGAGACTTCCAAACAGCAGAGCAGTGTTCCAGAGAATGGCAGTAAACGAGAGCAGGTACAAAGAGAAAAGAATAGGACCTTAAATTATGCATAGCAGCCCATAACATGTTATACAGTTGTTTAATTATATCACTCGTTAGATACAAAAAATACGAGTATGAAGGTAATGACAATAAAGGATTAATCGAATCAATTTCCACATCTGATAACAAATAATTTTGCATGACTTGACTTGAGTATTGAGTTGTAGATTACACATCATATAAACAAAACACAATCCATATGTTGCCTATACTATGTAAACAACAAAAAAGAGAAAGTCAAATTTCCCAAGCACAAAACACAAGAAAGATAGTCTGCCATTTTTATAATTATAATAATAAGTGCCTCAAAAAATTATATATCATATATCACCTACGACTAGAGATCGACTAATTTTTATGTTTTTTGTTTCTGCAATCTGAAGTAAATACACAAAAATCCATATCCATCAATATCCTTTTTTTTATATTATGTTAAAAAAAATCATAATAGTTGATTAGTGCATCTTTGCTATCCTTACACTATATCAAATCGACCTGGGATGCAAAAATATAAATAATATAACGATCAGTCATTTTAAATTAGCGATCAGCCTGACTTAGAGAAACTGGCTTCGGTCAAACTGAAAAGTATGTTCATCTCTCTGTGTTCTATGTGTTCATTCTTTCTGCCTTTTGCATGAATTACTGCAGTACTTATTTTCAAAATATTCGATTTTTTGAGACATACAGAACCATGCAGAAAGCTCAAAGTGAGATTCTTGTCATGTGCAGCGTTAAGTTTAAAGCCCATGAATTTGAATCAAGAGTGCAGCTCATGTCCGCAGACTGCGTTGCATAATGATTGATTTTAGAGGTACAAAGACAATCATAATAATAGGCAGCGTCTCTACTTTCGTTAGCAGCACTGGGTTCAGCAGTAATTTCCCCTGGCTGCCTGCTGAATGGGGCACTTGTTGGCTCAACTTGTCACATGGGAGGGTCGAGGGATGGGAGGGGAGAAAGGAGTCTTGTTCTTCGTGGCTAACCTTTCTTCAATATCCCCTTCCCCACCCCCAGTCCAAACCTCTCCAACGTGGTCTGCAGCGAAACAAGGTCCGCTTTCACACTCCTGTACTCCGGCCGCACCACTCTGAGGATTGTTCCAAATTTTAGCATAGGTCTTTTTCTGATACTTGTTTAAAAAAAGGGTCCAGCCTTTTCCTCTTTCAAACGTCGGGGAAAACTGGTCCTAAAGACTCTTTGATTCAGTCCAAGCGGAGAAAATATTTGCTTGTGTTAAACTTGGATTTACTGAGAACACTTTGCTTAAGACTTGTCAGATATGTCAGCTGCACACCACAGAGTAATCCATAATACCCTGTGAAAATATTCAAAATAAAGCCTTTATGTTATTAATATTTCTTTTTGCACCTTCTGGAATGCAATAGGAATAAAGACGTATCATTTACATAATAATAATATTACTTTTTGTAAATGTGCAGATTGCAAGGGTAGTCCCAGGTTTAGTCAGGTTAAAATGAAGACCTTTAATGCTGTTTAAGAAAAATGTAGAGCCTCCATCGCAGGTAAACAAACTAATTTGTCTAAATATACAGCAGTAGACATCCATTACTATCTGGATTTATCGGTGCATGTGAAACTTGGAGGCAATTTGGGAATCTGGAAACTGGAATATTGTGCTGACATCCTCACAGTCAGATGGATGATCAGAGACCGTTTTTATTTATTTGTTTTTACAACACTTCAGAGTTTTGTGGATTTTGGTGCCATAATATTTAAATACCACAATCTTTCAAATGTAATGTTTCATCAAACATTGTCAAATTCAAAGCTTTTAAGACTTTAAAGATGTGCAGACCCGGGGCCCGTTGACTGGGCAAACACTTGGGCTGATGATTGCACCAAACAAACGCATCTCCCATTCATCATGCATTTTTTAGCATCTGTAGATTTGTTGTTCTACTTCATGTGCAACACGCCTGATTTCCACCACTTTGAAGGCTGCCGTAGATTTCCTGACCTTGGTGCCAGCACATATTGGAAAACCTTTCTGTGAGAATATAAAATGATGCATTTTCATAATTCATATGGTGGAAAATAACAATACAAATATAGAAAGCCTCAATCTGCAAATATATGATCAGACACATTGTAGAAAAACAAGATTAAAACCAAATATGAGTGAATCAGTTCTGCCATTGACTTGTTCCATGCAGCAGTTATATTTCTGCTCTGGTCCTGACAGCTTCATGTGACGGCTGCAACGAGGAAAACCACTCAGAACATGAGCCGTGTTTTAAATATAAACAACATTTATGTGATGGGACAGATAAAGAAACACCTCGCACCAGATGCCATACGCAGACAGGTCATGCCGAATAATAAGGGAAAACAGAAAGAGGGAGTTATGGAGTAGAATTACTATAAAAAGTAAAACATAATAATTAGGTGAATTTTATTCATATTTAACTTTTCATTGCAGATGTCACCCCATCTGTCTACTGCATGATAGTTTGCTTATAGTTTGAGCTATATATATACTATTTATATCTATTTATATAGCAACAAAACAAAGTTGCGAATACTTCAGGCGGCAGAACATAAAGCTGCCCCCTTCTAATAGTTTATAAATGCATCAGTGATGTAACACATTAAAAAACAAGAGAATTTGAAAGAGCTGTGGGCTGAGGAGGTGTGTGCAATGACAAGCTAAAAAGGCAGAGGTGGCAGTACGTTGCCTGGTCCATCTTGGAACAGAGCTAAGTAAAGCACAGTGCCTGTTAAAGTGGGTGGAGGGGGGATTTCATTCAAGCAAACATGTTTTTGGATCCTGCACATCTGAATTGAATTACTAGACAAACAGCCGATGGGGAAGAGAGCTTAGAACAAACTGAATAACCCCACAGCTTTGTGTGTCTTTATGCTTGGCCATTCTGGGTGGGAGGCTCAGAGGTCTTTCAAAACTTCAGGAAAGACAGGCAGAAAAGAATGCCCGGCATGCTGCGAAATCCAAGCCTTGTTTGTCAACGCCAACAGGAAGCGGACGTGAGAGGGTACTGAGCGTGTCCTAGGATTTTTAAGCTGTCATTCATCACATGATGCTGTATTGGTCATCATAACCTCTACAAGAATAACTAATCTTAGTTTAGATACAACTTACTACAATAACTTTGTAACCTTTTTCATCATGTTGATAGACTTAGGTAGTTTATTCTCATTAAATCTATCTGTGCGCTCCAGAGATGGATAAAAGCTCTATAATATGTCACCATAGCATTTGCATTTTTAAATAATTAATTTATTTTATATATTCACCCATTTCAATAACCATTTCTATATTTATCGTAATGTGATTTTGCTTCCTTGTTCTACTCAAAAGAGCGACCAGGCTCGGCACTGGCCCAGCAGGGCTATAGCCCCAAAGATCAGTATTCAGTTCAGACTTCTCAGAGCCTTTGATTTCATGACGGAGCTCACTTGTCCAATGCTGCCTGATGTAAAGTAGGAAATCTCATAGGACTAGCAACAGCCTGAGATCTGGGAGAGAATTAAAGTCTACACACCACTCTGAAGCAAAGCTCATATTAAACGTATGCGAAGTTAAAGAGCCACTGTTAAAGCAGGCACTAGACAAAAGGCATGTGTGGAATGCCTCTCCAGCTCCTGTCACTTCAATTCACTTAAACAATTTGGTGACAAAGTGACTTATGACATGCTGACAAGGCCCTTCTCAAGCTTGCTTCATGACTTCAGATGCAAACACAATATTAAGACAGAGAGGTTACACAGTGTGTCACACCAGGGCATTTTGAGCTTATTGAGTAACAGACACTTCCTCCTTGTCTTCTTCTGATTATATCTACTTATCTATTATGAATACAATTTAAATTAAACGATTAATTAGTGTGTAAAAGTGGGTCAACTGTAAGAGCCTTTGAACAGTGCAGCATTCCTGACTGAGTGAATGTCAAAGTCTTATGAGCAGGTCGTATTGCAAGTCACACGGTGACCTCTGTGTGGGAGGTCCACACACTCTCCATGAAGAGAAAACGCAATGCAGAAAACACAACATATCTACAAAGATACTCTCTCCTTGTGTGTGTGTTTTGAGTGTGTGTGCATGTGTGTGTGTGTGCGTGTGTGTGCAAGCGTGCGTGAATGTGTCCAACTTGGCCACTCGTGATGCACTGACAGGTCCACCATCCTGCTCACCTGGCCTGCAGCATGTTTGATGTATAATTCATATGAAAGCTGCACATCGCTGAAATGGGGGTTTGGGGGCACTGGTCGTGTGCGTGTTGGTGCCGTACAGTACACTACCAGCACAACCATCTCGTCACCATCAACATACCAAGTGCATACTAAACAAACCTGTCTGTTGAATAATTGAAGCTCTCAGGCCAGAGTAAGCTGTGTGATTAGCATAGAGGCCTTATGGGGCCAATCTTCAGTGTGGCAGCCAGGTCTACGCATCAGTCTACTGAATGATCCGCTAAAAACTCTGACATGTTCTACATCCTGCAGCACATAGGTTGGGTTTTAGGAATTGTAAGATGTCTATTAATCACAAGGAGGATTGCTGCGTCAGCAAAAGTTGAAGCTAAGGTGTCAAGTTATAGAGTCAAGTAAAAAGAAAAAAAAAGAAAGACAATGGTTACATCTATACAACATAGATCTGAAAAGTGTGAAAAAATGTCTGTAATCTATGATTATTATAAACTGGACAGGACAAACTTGGAATACAACCTTTCAATTAAGAAGAAACAGGCACAGAATTATAGCACTTTTGTGTCAAATATAAATATTTTGGGGGGTGTAATCAAGTCAATAATCATAACTTCCCTCCGCAGGAGTGAGTGCCTCCCTGGTTTGTCCCTGGTTGTGTGGGCCCTGGGCAGTAATCCTTGGCCCCACATGTGCCCCTCTCCTCGCTCTCATTAGTGCAGAGCGGCTCTGTGAGGAGGCAGGCCTGGGGAGACGGCTGGAGTAATGAGCACATAATCAGGCTGGCTCCCTGTCAGCAGCCGCACACAGGAGCAGTGGGCGCCCGGCCCGGAGAGGGCACACACTCCCACTGTCTACCTTATATTAAGCTCATCACATGACCTTTGAATGCAGGTCACCAGATCAAGCACTCACATTCAGTTTACTGAGTTACTTAAGAAAAGAGATATTAGACTATGCAGTAAATGTTAATGACATGAAACCATATCTTACAATAGATTTGGGTTACTTTCAATGTCAAAACAAACAGAATGGATTTTCCAAAATATGACCAATAAATTGTGAATTAAATATTCTAGATATTAATCTATATTAAATACATAAAATGTAATTTATATTGAATGCTGACAAAGCTCTTTTGTATTGCTTCCTGTGGTCACCAGACCTATTATAAATATGTTATTATTGGTTAGTCATGTCTGTGGCATCCTCAGATGATGCATTGTGTGGCCCCATTAGTAATGATGGGCAAGGTCACATTGAGTTCATCTTATTTTCTTATAAATTGTGTAAGTGGTTCTCATTGAGACCGAAGTCAGTCTTACATTCCCACGAACAAACTCTATTGCCTTCACAACAGCTTCCCTTTGACTGTGGTCAATGAACACTTTGTCATGTGCATCCCAGTGATTATGAGATCCAGCAAATCCACCACAGACTCAACAAGCGCATCTGTCATGTCAGGTCAGGAGGCTGAGCCCGAATGACTCTTTTAGGCAAGGTAAGGGGCAGTTCCTCCACACTTCACGTGTGAGTTCACAACTACCAGGAAGTGCACTCAATAAACCCAACAAATGGATAAGACTCCTCAGAAAGTACAACGCCATGACCAGATCTTATCTGAACACACATCTACGAGAAACCCACAAGTCAAACAGGTCTGTGAGCTCCATGGTCCAACTGCAGTGAGACGCCAACATGACTAGATCACACCTGAGTCTGAACATGTTACACAAATGCTGCAGAGAGGTTATGGTGGTGGACATTTGGACTGTTTTCAGAAGTGCAGACATAAGCTGCTGTGATAGTGTGGCCTGTGGGAAAAGCTCGACATGGTAGGGTACAGCGAACACTATTATGTTGTTATTGTGAATAACTAAATTACCCTGACAGTTTGATTTCAACATTATGCTTTGTAGAGAATTGATTCCTCAAAATAAGCAGGATTTTTTGATCATTAGATTAATGCCTTGATGCCTGAAGGAAACCTCTGATTAGTTGCTTTGCTAAGTACTATGGCTCCATTCATAAAGCCAAACCCACAATATCTGCTATCTATTTTTCACCTATGATGGACTGCCTTGAAATCCAATTAAAATTAACACATATTTTGAAATATCCATAAATACACTCTATGTAATTTTGATTATTACTTACTAAATGTCCAGGAGTTGGTGACCGCGAGTCTTTTAAGGCTACAGATCCAGGGACGTCTAAAAGAGGCCATTTCATCTGCAAGTACTGTGAAAGAAGAACAAAACAAAAGGTCAGAGGAAAGAATTGTGCAGCGAACATTACAAATGACAAACAATTACGTGTATGTTTTTTATTGTGTGAGTAAATATGAATGGAGGTGGAGCCCTGTAGCTGAGAGCTGGGCTTGACACCTGTATGAGTGAGTGGCCTCTGTAAACTGTTCACACAGACCAGAGCCACAGCAGAGGACTGTGAAACTGCCGTTTGTCAGAGAAAAACAAGAGGCCAGCTGTGGGCGCCTGTCGGGGGCGAGGGAACAGACAGCTGGGAGGAAACCCCATTTCCAGAACGGCCAAGGAAGAGTCATCAGCGATTGTTTTCACCTTTTGACCGGTATCTCGCTCTAGTGAATAATATAAGTATGAAGAGAGCATTTGCGCTTATCATACTTGTCCAGTTCTGTGAGTAGGTTTTTTTAAATACCAAAGTGAAATACCTTTGCCATAAAGTATTTCACTTTTTAAAGTATGCCATAAAGTATACAGGAGGAACTAAGGCAGTGCAAAGGCAGCCAATTTATCAATAATTTTGGGTGATTTTCATGTGGCATAAATTAAAATATTAAGCTAACTGTTTTCACATTATGTCATCTATGGAATACAAATTAATTTTACAGAGTTACAAGAGTTACATGTTTCAAGTAAACATCCAAGAAATAATCCAGAATTGTATAATACGTCATCCCAAGTTTGTAAAGTGGAAGGAAGTTTGGATGGGTGTGGGTTAAAAATGGAGAAGACATAAGAGGAGGGAAAGGGAAAGAAGCAGGAATGAGTTTGTGGAGCAGACCGAGGTATTGTTTCCTGACAGCTGGGGTCCAACAGAGCAGCGACGCAGGGGGAAGGGGACCCTTTCCCTTCCAAAAGGGGAAATTCTTGGAGTTGACATCAGCCCTCTTCATTTTCACTACAGGCCTACAGCTCAAGGCTCCATCGTATGGTTCCAACTAATGGGCCCAGGTCCATACAACTGTCAGGAGGCAATTGCTTTTAGAGGCTGCTAGGCCCTATTGAAACTTTACTGAGCTGTGTGCATGGTGCCTAATGAATGCTACTCTCTGGAGAGAAACCCCAAAACAATGCAGTTTCCTCTGTCTAATCTATGTCAATCATGGATTCTTCCACAAATGAAACAAGCTCCATTGTGAACGTTTGGTGTAGGGAGGCTGTGCCCACCCCATCTCTCCCACCACATCCATCCCACATTTGACAGCTTCTGCCACCACGAAGAACATGCCCCAGGCACTTCTTTGAGCACCTACTTTTCTTTTAATTACAGCACACACACACACACACACATAGACACACAGACACACACACACACACCATTCTCACAAACCTCCAGGTAAAGCAGTGCACACATTATGTGGGGTCCTAGGGGCAGCACCAGAAAACAAAAGTCGCTGTGTCTGATAAAATACAGTATGTTTAATAAAATATGGTTGTATTTGTATTACTACAACAATAAGATAATAAATATATAATATAATATATACAATATACAATACAAGTATAATATATAATATTTACAAAAATAAGCCGGAGCAAACAATTAAAAACACCACAGTTATTTTTCTATAGTCTCTTGCAGCATTCCCATCCGTGTCCAGCTCTCAGAATAGACATCACAGAATGTGCTACTTTTACAGGAAGCAGATGCGACAAAGGTGGCAATCATGCCACTGAAATATTCCAAAAAGCCACACTGGAGCCCTTTGGTTTTTGAAGTGAAGAATACAGCATATGCTCAGGGGCTCATGTCCTGCCAGAGCTGGTTCTAATTGTTACATGGCCCTCACAGAAACAAGAAAACACTGCCAACTGTCTTTGTCACTGTGAAGTGTGTGGTGCCACACTCCAGGCCGACATCAGAGCGCACACAGTTGACAGATGTCCGGACATTTGCTGTCAAACTAAGTCACACTGAATGCCAAGTACAGAAATATCTCAAACTTTGGTCCCAACTTTATCAACAAACTTGTTGTCTATATCTGGACAACACTGCATGCAGCACAGTAGCACTGCCACAGAGGCAGAGAGTATGAGAAACATGAAAAACTATGACAAAATAACTAATTACACACTTTTCAACTTGAAATTCATGTAATAACATCACCGTGCTGAAGTTTCTGTCCGCAGTGAAAGCAGCAGCAACAGGAATGCCTGCATGGATTACTGCAGCAGATAATGTCAATCACCTACTGAGTGGAGGACCCCTCCCCATTGTTTTCTTTTACCCCCAACAGAAAACAAATGGGCCACACAGCGTGCTGCTGGCAGAAGTGTTAATTATGCTCTCCTGGCCGTATGGACAGCAGCTCAGACAATAGGCCGACACACACTCACTCTCAGCTCTGCCACAATCACCTGCACAGGCAAAGCATTGACACCTCCACCTCAGCTCTACATACAACACAATTAAAGCTGCGGACACAAAGGCTTCATTAGAATCCTCCACCCTCCAGCAAAGTTTGCATTAACGGTCATTGTTTGGCAACATTAGAGGCAATTACAGTAACAATTCTAAAGCAAAGCTCTGCAGTCATTGTGCTAATTACTGTGTAATTGATGGGGAAATGACAAGCCCCAGCAAACACAGGGCTGATGTTACTTTCATGATATGCTGCAAATGTGTATAATAGACAGATTTTAAAACATGATTGAATTTGCCATTTGACGAGCAGTAATGTATTTTCTCAGCGACGAGACTGGACCAAAGCCTGGCGTTAACCCTGAGAGCGGCGGAGATAGTGGCCCTCATGGCTCCACATGTGAAGTGTCCATTAGTCCACAGAGGAATGAAGTTAAGTGACTATGACAGGACACTCCCTGAGTTTGCCAGCTCCATTGTGACCCGTCGTCGTCCTGCACTCTTATTCATCGCTGGAAAAAAAACTGGGTCAAAGGTCAGACAGGCAGTGCTGTGGTTTCTATGGCAACGTGGCCTATTAAGGCCAGGCTCATTGGCCTCTTAACATGCTCTTGGACACAAAAGAACTATTAGTGCAAAGAGAGGGGGCCACACCAGGGGGGTCTCACCACACAACATTTAAGCAACATTTTCAAGACGGTAACACTTGTTTATCAACAACCATCATAAAGCTTTGAATAAACACACCATGCATTTGTGAATATCATATTGAAAAGCTGGCGATGTGGGGGAAACAAATCTCCCACAAAATGTCCTTTTATAGATAGATTCCCTACATACGTATGTAGGCCTATACTTGCTTTGGACAGTGTGGTCCAAAAGCAAAAAGACATGATCTGACAATGGCTATGATGGCCAAAACTTTATCATGAATAAAACCTTTTGGGCATTTGCTACACAAATGGGCTATGTATTTCATTCTTTCAACTTGCTCCTGGCCCGAGCAAACACATCAAAATGAACTGTGTATGATTAAACCAAACATCATGAAAGGCAAATGGATAGAGATAAAGGTAGAGGTCTCTTTCTGGATTGGTTAGGTTCTCCTCTAATTCAGATTTTTGAAACAAAACAAAAATCAAACTTTTGATCTTTGGCGCAACCAATGACAAATTGTTTACTAGTTAATTTTTGGAGAAATTCTGCAGATGGGTGTGCGTGTGTGCGTGTGTGTGTGTATGTGTGTGTGCGTGTGTGTATGTGTGTGTGCGTGCGTGCGTGCATGCGTGCGAGTGTGTGCGTGTGTATGTGTGCGTGCATGTGCATGTGTGCGTGCGTGTGGAGTTGCATCATTTGAAGATTTGTCTGTGTTTGTATAATACAATCCTAAATACCTTTAACCCAAGCCATTGTCCTCTCTCAAATCATTTAACTTTAGACTGGGGTTTAAGATAGAAGTTCACCTCATAAATAAACATACTGTATAATTACTCACAGCAGAGGATGATTACACATGTGGTAAGAGTGAGACCATCTCAAAAGGACAAGGGAAGAGTGCCTTCAATGACATGAAGTGAATGTTGAGGTTTTCTTTACCTGGAAGTGAGAGAGCTGCTGTTGTGCTCCACATAATGTCAGTGTGGCCTTGTGTCAAGACAAACTTCATTTTTTCAGTTAAGGTCATCACATTTTATGATTTTGAAGTGTGTGTGTTCTGTGTCAATCCACTTTTATAGTCAGGGGAGTAACCGCTTTTGCTTCGTCATCAAAGTCTAAATAATTGGGTCCAGAATGAACAAATTAAATACATGATGCAAACATTACCTCACATTTGTTTACAAGGAAGCTATAGAAAGTCTTAGTTCTATCTACTGATCTCTAAACATTTTAACTCAGATGTGAAATAAATACAACAACAAAAATGTACCCCTAACCCCAGGAGTAAATCTACTCCATCTGCTAAAAGTGCCTCTTAGGCCATGGCACAGAGGGCAATTGTTTCTTTTCCGAGCTCACTGCAGTGGACTGAGGTGAAAAATGTAGTGAAGAAGGATCTTGAGGGAAAGGGTCACTTTTTCAAATCTGAGGTGGGCATTAAGGTGTAGTGGAGAGACAGGGAGGGGAGCGCTCAAAAAAAGGCCCTAAATTAAACACATTTGTTTCTGCTCTCACATACCACAAGTCTTATGAAAACAGAGGGCTGATTGTGTTCGCTCTGGGACCCCCTCCCTCACCACCCAACACCACCCAGCTCCACAGCCCTTGCCCCCTGGCCCCTCCTCCTGCACACAGCTGCCTGCAGATGCCTCCTGTGTTTGCCTGTGTGTGAGTCCAAATGCCCTGTCTCATCTCACTTTTTACAACCTGACATGGCTATCACCTCACCGCCAACCCGACACCCCCGTAATAACCACCGCCTGCTCCAACGCTGCCCTGTACAAACTTTTACACCGCAGGTATGCAGGGCAATGCGTATCTGCTGATGCACGCACCTTCTCCCATTTACATTTTTCAAGCTAAAACTCCATATTAGATTGTTAGTTCACCTAAAATATTAGATTTAAAGTGAGACTGTGACATTCCCCTTGCATTTATTCGTCTGTTTCCAGTCTGCA